AATTGATCAGTCCGTTCTGGATCCTATAAAATATTGGAAATTGGTCAGTTCCTCCATAAAAAATCAGTTCCGTTCGGTTTGTAGCAAACATTTGATATAATTGTTTCTGACAGAGAACCAATATGAACTTGCTTGATGCAGGGAAAAATGATAGCAAACCAAAAAATAAAAATAAAATAAACGTTTGATAAAATATACCTTCTTTCAAGGTCTCCAAGAGAATCTACTCCAAAAAGATTTTTTCACAATATCAATTTTACTCAATTCCAATATCTCAGTTGTTTACATAAATGGAGCTTTCCTTTTTAAATACAGTTGAAATGATAAAATAAATAAAAAAAACATATTTATCTCTCATTCTAAAAGTCCTTTATTTCCTAAAAAATATAACCTTCCTAACTACATGTTTATTAAAAGTTTATGACTTTCTAACTAAAAGATTGATTTTCTAAAGATTAGAACATATCATCTAAGATTGTCCTTCCTATTTTCTCTCTATTTAAAAGATAACCCTTAAAATTCTAAAATATATATCTTTTATACCCCTCAAATCTCTACAACAAAAATACAAAAATAGCCCTAAATAATACCAAATCTAAAATCCAGAGCATATAAAAATACAAAATCAAAAAACCTTGATTTTTTTTTTTTGCATCATTCTCCCCAGATTGGGAGAAGCTCGACCTCGAGCTTATAAACTTAAATCTTTTAAAGGCCTTATCAAAAGTTGGTGATGTAGTCTCACCATTCGTCTTGGTATTTTTTTCTTTAATAAGTAGACATTGATTAGAACATATTATCTAAGATAATATTTCCTATTTCTCACAACCTAAAAGACAACACCTAAAATTTTAAAATAAATATCGTTCATACCCCTCAAATCTCTACAACAAAAATGAAAAAATAATCCTAAATAATACCAAATCTAAAATAAAGAATATATAAAAATTGAAAAAAAAAAAAATCATTGATTTTTTATTTGCATCACAACTTCACATTTGTTTTAAATTCTTAAAATTTTAATCATTGAAATGGCTCGTTTTTGCATGAACCAACTACACAATTTTTCATATACCTTTTTTTTAGAAAAATTTTTGTATCACTGATCATTCGAATCAAATAAAAAAGTCTGGAGGGATGATCCATGTCACCAATCTATTTTTTAAAACATTGGTTCTTACCAGGGTTTAAAAATCACTAGTCTAGATCGAAATCGCTCGACCTTTTAAACACTAATCTAGATCGAAATCACGCGATCTGGATAAAAAATCATCATGGGTGATCTGAACCCATAATATATCGGGATCTTAAATTCTATTAAATTAGAAAGAGAGGTGGTAGCCTACCAATACTTATTGATTGTTTTTCTCCAGATTTTTTAATTTGCATTATGAAATTTTTTTAAATTAACCAATACTAGCCAATACTTGTTTGTAGTACTAACATGCGGCGGTGCCACCAACGGCGCCACCAATATGCTTGCGCCTTGCTCCACCCGCACGCACCTCACACAACTCTCCCTCGTAACCCTTTTTACATTCCAATTCACTTTGTTATCTGCCCCGATGTGGGACTTTGTTTCCCTTTTGCCCCATACGAGCAACGAAACACACAACTCATAAATATAGGAAATTTATTGGAGAGAGAGAGAGATCTATTTATTTTTAGAGTGAGAGTGCTATTTATTTAGAGAGATAGAGTGGTGTTTGTTATATAGAGAGAGTGTATTATTTATTTTGAGATAGTGCTTTTTTTAGAGATAGACATTTGTTAGAGAGAGAGAGATGTTTTTTGAGAGAGAGAGATTATTTTTTTGAGGGAGGGAGGGAGGGAGGGAGGGAGGGAGGGAGAGGGACATGTTAGTTTTTTTTGTTTTACCTATAGAGGAGATTTTGAAATTTTTTTGGATATTGGGTGAGAACTATGATGACACAACACCTCATATGCACGGAAACAATGAAATTTAAAAAATTATTGGGTTTTTCTTAAGTAAGCAGATCGGTGACCCACATCAGCCATTTGAAAAACCAGTCCAAATTCAAAAATTTGTATGGTTAGAGAGGCAAAGGTCCAATGTATTTGTAGATTGTATGTGTATATCTTTGTATATTTGTATGTGTATATGTACGTTTGAAAAATATCTTCTGTGTTTTTTGCTTGTGTATGTGATGCATAAAGAAATTCAAAAAATTCGAAATTTTAGTGCTATTATTATATTTTGTTTATCTTTTTTAAGAATAGAAATTGCACTGGGATAAGTTAATTGGGACGATTTTTTTGCATGCGTTTTAGTAGGGGCTTGAGTCGTCACCCAAGAATGCCAATCTTTTGGTTTAGGAAATAGTTTATCTTTTAAGCTATGTACAAATTATCTTTTATAAAGAGAAGATAACGTGAGATTTAGATAGATAGATGGAGATAGAGATAACAAATCCCATGACCAACTCAAGGTGCCAATCCTGAATGCAACGATCAAATTGTAACACAAGAAGTGCGATTTGATGAGCATCCAAATGATCTTGGTATTCAGTTCGACCTTCTCAAATTTTATGAAGAACTTGAAAAAAAAATCACAATTGAGCTCAAAATCTCAGTGTTATACTTAAAAATGAGCAAAAAGTATTTTGTGAATCAATTTATTGAAGAAAAAGTGTTGAGCACATAGTGGGACTTCATCACCGACTTTTGAAAAGGCCTCTAAAATATTCGAGTTCGATAAACTCGAGGTCGAGCTTCTCCCAACTCGAGGAGAATGGTACAGAAAGAGATTTCAAAAATTCAAATTTTAGTGCCATTATTAATTTTTGCTTATTTTTCTTAGGAATAAGTATTGCGCTAGGAGAAGTTGGGTAAGAGGATTTTTATGAGTGAGAAGTTGGGTAAGAGGATTTTTATGAGTGAGTTTAGAAGTGGCTTGAGTTGTCACCCACGAAAGCCTATTTTTTGGTTTTAGAAAATAGTTTATCTTTTAAAATTAAGTAGAAATTATCTTTCAAGATAATTATCTGTTATTTTTTTTAGAAAGAGAAGATAACATGAGATTTAGAGAGATAGATGGAGATAGAGATAATGTGTGAGAGAGATAAACAATATATTACATAAAAGTTAGAAAGAGATAAGAGAAAGTGATATGTGACTTTTAGAGAGATAAAAGAAAGTTTATTTTTTGTGGGTTGTTTCATTCATTTATTTATTTTCGTCTATGTGTATTTAAAGGGAAGAAGTCCCTCACTATAAAAAAAGAGATTGGAATTGATTAAAGAATTTGGGTATTGTGAAACGATTTTTTGGGGTAGACTCCCTTGATAATCTAGAGAGATGTTATATTTTGTCAACCTTTTTATCTTTTTATTTTTACTAGTTCATTATTATTTCTCTTTGTATTAGTTGGTATCATAGCAAGTAAAATTCAACCATTGCACTATCATCGAAAGTTAATCTTGCTATGGATGATTGGCTGGGACAAATTATAGAAAATTTGAGCAAAGTCATGGTGGATGTTTGAATCAAATTTCGTGAAATGAATCAACGGTTACAATAGTTGGAGGACGCCATTGTAAGTTTGAGATGGTGTTGACAATCATGAAAGTCAGACTCCATATTTTGTTGTAAAGATAAATCAAGTCTCACAACCTACTTAAGGTGTCAATTATGAATGCAACAATCAAATTGTGATACAAGAAATTGGATTTGAGGAGCATGCATATGATTTTGGTATTCAAATTGATCTTCACAAGTTTTATGAAAAACTTGATAAAGAAATCACAATTGAGTTTGAGATCCTAATGTTCTACTTAAAGACGAGCACAAATTATTTTAGGAATTAGTTTATTGAAGAAAAAGTACCGAGACACATTGTGGGACTTCATCACCAACTTTTGAGAACACCTTTAAAAGATTTGAGTTCGATAAGCTCAAGGTCGAGTTTCTCCCAATCCAGAAAGAATGATGCAGAAAGAGGTTTGGAAAGTTCAAAATTTTTTTGCTATTATTATTATTTGTTTATTTTTCTAGAGAGTAAGAATTGCATTGGAATAAATTAGGTGAGAGGATTTTTGCAGATGAGTTTTATTAATGACATGAGTTGTCACCTATGAATGCTTATTTTTTGGTTTAGGAAATAATTTATCTTTTGAGATAAGTAGAAATTATATTTTATTATTTTTTTAGAAGGATAAGATAACTGAAATTTACAGAGATAAATGGAGATGGAGATAACATATGAGAGATAGAAAAGAGATTATATGGAAGTTAGAGAGAGATAAGGAAAAGTGGTATGTAACTTTTAGAGATATAAGATATTTTTTTTTGTGGGTTGTTTTATTTATTTATATTCGGTTTAGTGTATTTAAAGGGAAGAAGTTCCGCATTGTAAAAGAAGAAATTGAAATTAAGTAAAAAATTTGGGCCTCATGAAAAGATTTTTGTTGTTGACTCCCTTGCAGACCTAGATAGGTTATATTCGCTTAATCTATTTTTTTATTTTTATTATTCTGTTATTATTTTTCCTTGCATCAATATGAGAAAGATAGAAGGTCCACACAAAAATGACAATTAATACCACGAAATGAAAAGCCCAACAGTTAATTGTTAACCACATGTAACATGTTAAACATAGAAATCTCATATGATTTTTTCCTAAAAAGCCTCACAATTAATTGCTCAAAGAATGCTTTGAAAAATAATACCTTAATTCTTTTTTTTTTTCCAATACTTAAATAAATATTTTGAATTCATGCACTCGGACATAAGGCACACTCTCAGTATTTATATATTTTTAATTAAAGAATTAAAAATTGTAGTACAACACCATTATTTATTTTGATACCAAAAAAATTAGATTTTTAAACAATTTTTATGATTTTTTTTTTAATTTTTTAATTCTGATTTTTGTTTATCCGGAGTCCAAATCTATTCATTATTTTGAGGTCGCCGATCCGAGTATCGGTCCCGTTCTTGAAACGTGGTTGTGGCCATGCTTACTACCATTGTGCCGCTACCAAGTCGAAATCCCTCGCGTTTGGCGTGCCCCGGTCTTTCTGTGTATTCCCATACACACGAATACGCAAAAATAAGAAAATTCCATTCAGTCTCTCTCTCTAGACTTTCAATAAAAGGGTCTTCCAATTTCATGCCTGGTGCCAGACGTATTGGTGAATTCCGGTTTCCTTTTTGCAGAGAGAGAGAAAATCAAAACAAAGTTGATGAAACTGGTGCTTCATTGGTGATCTTCAGCTATTCACAGGAAATACTCCATCGTCTCTAAGTTTTTCTGTTAAAGAAGAAGCCTCCTCCATTTCTGAAGATTCTTCAAATTTTAAGCAACATAAAGGGGAAAGCAAGGAAGCATGCTGCCCACGGCCTCAAGGGGGCGACCCCCCTCCACAATGCGCGCCAATTCCATTTTCCCTCATTATCTCCGCAGAGTTATCAAGGTTTATTTTTAGCGTCATTCTGATCTTTTTTTGTGATCAATGTTAAATGTGTGTAATTCGATTATCATCTTTCTATTGGGAAATGCCCATGACAGTTCAAATTTTGGGAAGTCACTGTAATCATCTCGATCCAGTGTTCTCTGTTTCTAGATGTTTTTTGGCTTTTTGAAACTACTTGTTACTGTTAACGTATGCACTTTACTGGCTCATTTATTCTGGAAAATGTTTATTGAATTGAGTGTATGCCTTCGTTTTTGCCTATACCAACTGTTGGATAGGAAGTTCCCTTACATAATCATCTAGTGCAACGATCTCTGAAGCATTCTGAGAGGGCATTCTACGATGTAGTATTAGTTTATAGAGGTGAAGGAGCGTCCTTTATACAATTATTGGATGAGTAGAAGTATTGGAATTCGATTCAATTAAGGTAGTGAGAAATTAGATTTAGGAATAACCGTACACTTCTGGAATCACGCTGAGTACCTTGTTTGAGGTGATGGTGGAAACGTAAGGGCAACTCTTGCCCCCTTCACTCCCTTCCTTGCACCCCCCCCCCCCCCCTCCCCTTGGTTCAATCGGTACATTCCCCCTCCTACTTGCATTTTTCTGGTTTCCCTGCCTCCCCCTCAGCTTCACATTCCATCCCGCTCCCACTTTTTGTATTCCCAGAGACCTCTCCTACTACTTCCATACCGTTGAAATCTTTTGCAGTTCCCCTTCCAAATCCTGTTGGCTCGGGTTTTTCAACACTCGGATCTGGACAGCCTTGTTTCGCTGCCACAGGAAATGAAACTGGCTCTTAGTGCCTCCCATTCCTCAAAACCTCAAAAGGTAGGCTTCCCCTTTAATACCTCCCTTAATAGGATAAACAGAGGTGAGCCCTATATGGTAAGCATGATTCTGACCATGGGAATGCTTTTTGATGGTAACATGTAGACATAGCCGACTCGCTTAGACAAGAAGCTAGTGCAACCCAGGTTAGTGCCTCTCTGAAACATCCCAAAGGCTTTAGGGAATTAGCAAATTTGCATTCTTTTGTTAATTACGATGCTACCTCATCATCCTCTAGAGAAACCCCTCTCCTCACTTCTTTAACCTTAAGCCCAAAGAAGAGTAGGTCTTGGATGAAGATTTCCCTACTCCCCAAGTCTCCTAAATGTAGATTCTCTGTTGGAACATTAGGGTTCTTGGTAGTCATACCAAGCGTAGTGCAGTCCGTTCCCTAGTTTCCTCTTCATTATGCAGAGATTTTAGCTCTTTTTGAAACTAAACGCCCAGCCCCAGACTTGACACTAATTAGGGACACTTGGGGAAGGAGGCCTTGCAGCTAGGTAGCTAAAGACACCCTTGGGGCCTCGGGGGTATTTGGGTCCTGTGGAATCCAACTATTCTACAGGCTGTCTCTTCTTCTATACAAGACTTTCCATCAACATCTTTTTTCGTAGAATCTCAAACAATTTTACCTTCAATGTTTCCCTGGTCTATTGCCCCAATTGCCTTATGCTCGCTAGTCGCTTTCGCCAGAGCTCTTGTTGAAAAAACCCTTTGCTGAAGTCCCTTGGCTTCCCCAAGTGTCCCTAATTAGTGTGAAGTCTAGGGGTTGACTTTAATGTGGTTAGATGGATTCATGAGAGGAGTTTGAGCGGCCGCATCACCGCATCGATGAGAGCCTTCTCTGACTTCATTTATAGTGTGCCCCTTCTAGATATTCCTCTCTTAGGAGCTTCCTTTAACTTGGTCTCATTATGCTACTTTTCATGTCATTGACCAAAATTGATAGGTTTTTGTTATCAAACTCTTGGGATTCTAGTTTTCCTGGTACTCGCCCCTTTGTCCTCCCTAAAATAACCTCTGATCACACCATTCTCTTGGAAACCAACCCCATTCCGTAAGTGAACAAGGCCTTTAGATTTGAACTATTTTGGTTGGATGAACCTTCTTTCCCTCAATTCTTTAGAAGGAGCTGGACTTCCTTCTCGGTTGAAGGATGGGCTGGTTTTAGACTATCCAAAAAATTACAGTTTTTGAAGGGTTCCATCAAATAGTAAATTGTAATGTCCCTGGTAACTCCAGGGATCAAATTCAGTAATGCAAAACTCTTATTCATTCCTTGGACACCCTGGAGGAATCCATACCTCTTTCAAATCAAGAATTAGCAGACCGATACTCCACTAAATACAACCTTCTGCAATACCTAAAAAAGATGAGACCTTTTGGTATCAAAGGTCTAGAATCAAATGGCTGATGGAGGGAGATAGAAATACTGCTTTCTTATAGAAAACTGCTAATGCTAGAAGAAAAGGCAATGCAATTACCCAAATCTATGTGGGAGATTATTCCTTCTCTCACCCTGTATAGGTTAATAGGATCATTATCAGATTTTTTAAAAGACTCTTCTTGGTCCCACTAGGCCTAGACCTTCCTTGGGTGATCTCGCTTTTTCCTCCCTATTCGTTAATGATGCGGCTTGGTTGGAAAGACCAATTTCAATAGAAGAAATTCATAGGACTGTCATTGACCTTGGTAGGGACAAATCACCCAGTTTTTCCATTGCCATTTTTCAAGAATTCTGGGATACTTTAACACCAGACCTTCTAACATTTTTTAATGAATTTTTTCAGAGGAGTCGTGTCAATACCGCCCTCAACTGTACTTTCATTGCTTTAATACCCAAGATAGAAGGGACAGAAAAGTTGAGAGACTTTCGCCCTATCAGCCTCCTCAACTCTTCTTACAAAATTCTTGCCAAAGTCTTAGTTAACCATCTTCAAGCTGTCCTCCATTCTATCATTTCCCCCTCTCAATCCGCTTTTGTTGCTAATAGGCAAATTCTAGATGGGGCCTTTTCTGCCCATGAAGCTATTCACTCTAGCTTCATCTCAGGGGTTCCGGGACTCGTCTTTAAGCTTCAATGGGAAAAGGCTTATGATAGAGTCGATTGGAACCTACTTGATGAATTACAGTTGTGCATGGGCTTTGAGTTTAGGTGGAGATCCTTGATCTTGGCCTACATCTCCAACACTCATTTTTCCATCCTCATCAATGGTTCCCCTAGAGGCTTCTTCCTTGCCTCTGGAGGTCTAAGGCATGGGCACCCGCTTTCTCCCTTTCTTTTTACCATTATTAGGGAGAAGAAATCTCTCTGTAGACTTTACGATAGGGGCATCCTCTGCAGTTTTCAGACCTCCTCCAGTGGTCCTGTTGTTTCTCATGTCCTCCATGCTGATGATACACTGATCTTCTGTGATGCAGGTCCTGCTCAATTGGATAACCTTTGGTTGTTCCTTAGGTGTTTCGAAGTCACTTCTGGGATGAAAGTTAATATGTCGAAAACAAGTTTGATGGGTGTGAGGCTTCCTGAAGCTGAAACGCCCTCACTTGACCAACACCTTGGTTTTGGAACAAATTCTCTCCCTTCAACATTTTTGGGGCTCCCTCTCTGCTTTGGTAAACCCAGAAAGCAGCTTTGGGATAATCTCTTAGAAAATTCACTTGGAAATTTGCCAACTGGAAGGGCAGATTTCTCTCCTTGGGGGGGGTAGAATTACTCTCATCAAATCCACCCTTGCCAACACTCCCATCTGCCAAATTTCCGTTTTCCAAATCCCTTCCTCGGTGGCTCTTCATCTTGAGAAACTAATGAGGAGTTTTCTTTGGAGTGGAACCACAGAGGATTATAAATTCCATCTACTCTCCTGGGATAAGTGTTATACCTCTAAGACGTATGGTGGCTTAGGGTTTAAAAGACTTAGACCATGAATGCACCCCTTTTGGGGGAAATGGTGGTGGAGATTCAACCCCCCCCCCCCCACCCCCTTCTCTGGATGGACATAATCAGAGCCATATGTGGTCTTGAGGAACGGTTGGTTGCCTCGGACCCCCTTCTTTAGAGCCTCTGAGGCTTGGAAGTCCATCTCTGCCAAACGTGCCTTCAAGGCATCAACCAGGTTTAAGTAAGGAAATGGCCAAAAAATCAGATTTTGGAAAGACCTCTGGGTTGGCACTCAAACCCTTGACCTTCTTTACCCTACCTTCTTCCTCTTAGCTGCCGACCGAGAAAGCTTACTATGTGCATAGCTCCAACCAATCCTTGTCTTGGACCCCAATCTTAGAAGGAACCTCAATGACACCGAAATATCCTCTCTGAGTTGCCTTTTTTAACTCTTATCCCCCATATTCTCTCATCTTGCCATACAAGACTCTCTAGTGTGGTCTCCCAACCCCTCGGGCCGCTTCACGGTAGCTTCCTTTTATTACTCCTTCCTAACCTTAACCCTTCCACGTCCTTAATAAAGTGTGGCCCTTCCCTATCCCTCATATCCTTTGGATTTTGCTTCAGGGCAAAGTGTTAACCCTTGACCAACTTCAGAGATGAGGTATCTCCCTATATAACCGTTGCATTCTTTGTCATCAGGAAGAAGAGTCATTCCTCACCTCTTCATACACTGCCCCTTCTCCTTTTCCATGTGGTCATCCTTCTTAAATCTCTTCGGCATCCAATGGGCTCCCCCTCAATCTACAACCAACTTATTCTTAGTTTTCTTGTCCCCACCATTCCCTAAGAACGGTAGAAAACTGTGGCACATTGCTATCACAACCCTTTTATGGTCAGTTTGGTTAGTAAGAAATGCTAGAATTTTTTGAGGAATGGCCAGACTTTTACCCTCTTTTTTGGACTCTGTAATCTCTCTTGTATCCTTTTGGGCTAGCAGCCTCAGCTTTCGCCCACATTCCCATTTCACAACTTCATCACTGTTGGTATAGCCTTCTCTCCCTGACCACTCCATCCACCTCGATTAGGAGTCTGTGGCATCCCTCACCTTTGGGAGTTAAACTTAATACAAACGGAGCTTGCTTCGGCAACTCGGGTCCCTCGGGTTATGGGGTTCCCTTGCAAACTCTAATGGAACTTTCCTCCTCTTCTCGAGGCCACTTGGTATACTTGATCAAACACGGCAGAGGCTCTCGCTCTATTGGAAGGCCTCAAGAAAATTCGTTTTTACCACGACCACTTTTCGGCAGTTCAATTGGAATGCAACTCAAGGAATGTCTTATCATGGGCTGCTAATCTAGTACAACCTCCTTGGCAATTGGTGTCTATTTTCGGTCTCATCACCCTTATTTGTAAATATCTACCGGCACTGACTTTCACCCACATTCTAAGGGAGGAGCTCGAAGTACATTGCCCTCACTGGAATTCTTTCCACAGAGTCTTGCTGCTTGTGACCTCCATATGCTTCACTAAGGGGACATACCACAAGTTCAAGCCCTCATTGTAAACAGATCTTGCAGCGCCCTCCTTACTCTTGAGCTCTCACCAAGAGGTACGCTACCTAGCCCTCTCTTCGGAAACCTTCGTTCCCTCCTCTCTCTTCCATTCAATGTTTCCTTTATATCTCTTCTTGCTCCCTTGTGTCTCTTCCCCCTCCTCCCTCTCTTCTCTTGGGAAGCCCCCCCCTCCCCCTCCCCTCCCCTCCTCCCCCCCCCCCACCAAAACAAAAAAAAAAAGAAATGAAAAAAAGAGAAAGAAAGAAAAAAAGAGAAAAAAAAGAAAAGAGAAAAAAGAAAAAAAAAAATTTGAAAAAAAGAGAAG